AGAGGAGAAAGTTACTGGTGGTTTAACCGGCCCAGTATTGTTTTTCAAGGAGGGAAAGGTACTGGTGGTTTAAGCATTTGGTTGCTTGAAGGAATCACTATTTTCAGCCCAGCGGGGGTTTTTCAAACGCGTTCGCAGGCTTCCTTTCGGTGTTGTTGTGTGTAGTGGGTAGCAGTTGTTGTGTGTGTGTCCGTGTCGAAGTCCAAACTGCTTTGGTCATGAACTTCGGTCATCTCTTTGCCCTATTTTAGTCAGGCAACTTGAATAAGGAGATCCGAGTGAATCTCATTTGTCTAGACTGTGCTGGAAATGTTGTTTCTGATGTAACGGATGTCGGACCCAGTTTTCGACTTGTATAATACAATGGTAACCTCGGTATGACCCTGATTGGAGTGCTTGGAAAGGGCTGTCCTTCCCAACATAAAAACAAACAAACCAAAAATGGAAAAAAAAGAAAGAGAAAAAAAAGAAAACTGGGGGGTGTAGGAAGGTGGTTGTAGAGGTTGGTAGGTAGTGAAAGACGAAAGAATTCGCGAGAAGCATATAGTGTAGTATTTTTTTCATTAAAAAAAAGGAAGGTAGGCGCATAATGGGAGAACCCTATTATCGTATGATGAGGGAAGTTGTTGCTTGGGAGAAGTGTGTTTTGTTCTCTAGGTCTTTAATGGGAGAGGCGTGTAAATTTTATTCATGTATTACTTCATTTATGTGTTATTTCATTTTATTTATACAATTGCATTGCATTTTGCTTGGTCCCAATAGTTGAAGGACCAATGGTTGGAGCTACTGGGCCCAGGGGGGTTGGACCCTCAGGGCACATGGTATGCTCCAACGGTACCAACTATTCCCCCCACTGTGTGGAAACTGCAAGGACTGGCGAGGAGTGGATTAGAGAGGTATAAGAGTGGATAGTTTCTCCCACCAATGGCAGGCTCTGCGAAGGCCCATAAAGGATAGTTCAGCATTGGAACAACCCCCCTCAGATCTGAGTGATCCAGAAAGGAGACGCACGTGGGCAGGTAACACAGACAAAGTGGGTAGTTCAGTCATCCGAGTCTTTGAGTAGCCTTCCTATTGACCCAACAACATGGATATGTGACGCCCAACCTCACGCCCGACACAACTTCCTGATCGGACTGTGAATGGGCCTGGAAGCGCAAAAAGGGGGTGTGCCATGGATTTTTGGGAAAGTGGGGATGGAGTCTCAGGTCGGAACTGAGATCTCCTATGGCAAGTTTCATAGATAGAAATGCAAGAGGGTAGGCGGGGGTCGAAGTCTGTTCCAATGGTTCTGAGTGTGGGTCTACCACCTCTGCGGGTTCGTCTGGGTCGGACTCGTATTTGGTGTACGGGCGGGACGCTATGGCTATCACGCTGTCTGACCACTTGTTGGCGTCATGTGTCGTTGATCTCAGAATCCGACGCGGCCGACCTTCAAGCTAGCCGAAGGCTATGTGCCCGTCGTTCTTCCTCCGAGCGAGTTCGCCGGATGAAACCGCAGACTCGGTACTCGCGGTCTTGCAAGCACTCCGAGCACGGGGGTTGGGGCCAGTACGGAGCGATTGCACGCCAGGGTATAATGATCAGTGAATGAAAGGGCAGTATGTGGTGGTAGGGAGGGAAGTTGGTTTGCAGAATCATTACCCTCGGTTTCGTGACAAGGTGACACGTGTATGAGTCAGAGAATTCCTGGTGGTGTGGAATGCGCTCTCGAGCTCGGTCGATGTCCCACTCACAGATACATTCAGTTCGTTTCCCACCAGTTATGGGCATTCGGGAATTTCTCCCCTCGGTCGTGCTGACAGACACTCGCGCTCCCAATACTCCCGAAATTACGGGTCCCTCAAACACCCGCGGTCAGTAATATGAAAAGGGAGTTCAATATTCATGTTGTGGGGTGAGGCGGAAACTCAGTCATTCGAACGGTTGGATCGAGCATAGGCGCTCCAGACACGCGTGTAGGCCACGTGCGTCTGATCAGGCCTACACGTGTGTTGACAAGGCCTGCCCTTCAGGCCGATGGACAAAGACCAATAACCCGCGTTTCAAACGAGCTGACCCGTTAACCGAGGGTGGATGGTCCTATCATGAGGCAGGCATATGGTCATCTAGCATGCTTATTTAATTTCGATAAAAAAATAACCATCGTCCACGCGTCCAGTTTCATGCATGCAAGACGAGAAGGTGACAATCGTCCATGCATCGAGATCGTACAAAATTCGATCCTAAGCAATTCACCAATTCATGTGGTCCATCCATATAGACGGAAAAACAAAGTGGGAGAAGCAATCATGCATCAATCAGTAGAGACACACAAAGGAAAGATCTATGATGCCGATCGAATTCAGGGGATCGATCATTGACAATTAGATCCATCACCTTAAGGGATCAGGGTAGGGGAGGGGAATAAAAGAAAGCGTACACGTCAACAAAAAAGAGCAAATAACAAGACCGAATGTCGATCAGAAGAAAAAAGCGGGGCAACTTGCGCCGAATACCAAAATTGCTCAGAAGGAAAGAAGAAGAATCAAAATGGCTTAGAGAGGTAGAATAAGAAACTCATCGCACACTTCCCGCCTCTCTCTCTCTCTCTCTCTCTCTCTCTCTCTCTCTCTCTCTCTCTC